GCGATGTTCGTGATCAGGCCTCGAGAAACAATAACCCTCGGGGCTCAACAATAACCAAACATATTTGTCTAATCCACACACACACACACACACACACACACACACGCTGTGGTTGTCTGACGTTCAGACTGAGGGTGTGTGGGGAACGATTTTAGCTTCAAACTTACTTCGACTTACTTGAAAGAACGAGTGAAAACAACTGGTGACACACACAATCTCTCCCCAGAAGAATGCTACACATGAACTCCACAGCAACTGAACTTAAGGTGTACACCCCTAGTTTATACTGCATTTCAGGCCTTCAACAGAGTTCAGACATTTTTAAAACTTCTCCAGGACATCCAGACATCCCGCCATGTATCATGGCCACTTTCAAGGTTATAGGTAAAGGCTTTGGTTGTATTCACCAAGCATCGGAGCCGTTTGTCATAACTGTAGACCGTCAGTTCAAAACAAAACCCAAACCATCTGGGGAAATGGGCACTCACTGGTGCGATGAAAAGGAAACACCGTCTTCTGTTGATGTTATGAGTCTTCCCAAGACCTCTGATTTCAAAATACCAGCGCTCACATAATTAACACAGCACACACACACACACACACACACACACACACTTAGGGAATATTTAGAAAATACCAACATGTGCTTTTCAGGAAGAAGAAATATCACTCTTCCAAACAGATTGCAGCATTTAAGAGGTAAATGTAAAAATCTGTGGTAAAAGCTGCACTGTTCAGGATGAATAGGAGCTAAGCCTAGAGTCTGCTAGGTGACAAAGCTGTGTGTTATGCTCTGTTGAGATAGCATTAGCAGATTTTTCTTCTTTAAAAGACTCCTGTCTACATCATTTATTCATATCCTCTGCTTTATCCCTACTGTCGTTCTCATACAAACACGTGCAATTCATTTCTATTATCATCTCTGGGACTCATCAGCTCCTCGATGCATCTTTTAATAAAAAGTCCCACTTATTTCAGTCACGGATGCCTCCATTCATCCCTTTCTGGTTCTCTCGGTGAACGTGCACTGACAGACTGAAACTAGACAGGCCAGCTCTAAAGAAAAAGAACGTGCAGGGAAGACGTCCTTTGTCATGCACCGTTTTTTTTTTTTGCATAAAGCGTGTACTTTCTTTCATCTGCCACCGCCTTTTGTAACTCCAGTGAATGCTGAGTAAAATGGAAAGATCACACATTTCCCCAGGATTCACGAGGTAACTTTAGCTGTACTTTACAGAAAAGAACAGCTCTGAACCAAACGTATAGTTCAATCAGACAACGTACACTTTATGTACTGAAGCTCAGCCTCAACACATAAAGGGTTATTTGAAAGTCTTTAGCCAAACATCACAAGGTATGATGGAGGTACAACAGTTTCTATCCAAAACAATCATCCCCCCCTCCCCTGTTAAGCAGCTTAGGTCTGTGTAGTGATCCTGTTCTGGATTACGGCAGCAGCAGTTTACAAAGCATGTAGAATACGAAGTCATGCTTTAGGAGTATACTGTACATGGGAGTACATTACCAGCGATCTGACTCATTTACATTACAGGTGTTTAACTATCACGCATACACAGAGATCTTCCTGCAGCGCAAATTAAAAGGTAAAGAGCACACTGGTGAATCATTGTAACTGTAAGTAGCCGAATAAAAGAAAACAAAAAGAGTGTCAAGTAGTTTAAAACAGATGCAGATAATTTCCATGCTACAGTGCTGCCATTTCACCGTGACGCTCCAGACTTTTTTTTAATAAAATGCCGTCTTCCTCATCATAGGTCCAATAAAACGTCTTCTCTCATACAGAGAACTGTTCTATGCCTTCTCAGCTGAATATATATTTCTTAATCAAGAGGTCAAAACTCAAAATGAGTCACTGGCTTACTGTTAGTGCGTCACCCACCGCCTGATAAAACCAGCGTTATGTTTTCATGAGCTGCGCTCCAAAAAATGGGAAAATTACTTTTCAAACCTCTGAGAGTGTATCAAACTCCAGCTTCGGAGAATGTGCTCAATACTGGCACTAGAACTCTGACACAACGTGGTGAATATAATACGTTACTATATGAAGTATTATATTTCAAACTAAATATAATGTCCAAGTTGAGCCGAGATTACATAATCAGAGTCCTAAAGCACTAGGTCACCAGAACAACCCATACAACTGTACTTCTGACATGCTTGCATTGAGGCACACCCTTTGTATTCTAGCATTAGTGTTCCCAATACTGTCAATGTATTGACTTATTGTCTTTAGTTGGTTCAGTGATGCAAGGGTTGTATCTAATACAATCAGATTGGATGTTTGTGACCTTTGGAAACAATGAATATCCAACCCTCTTCTGCTATCCCGAGTTTAGAGAGTTATTTTGGTGTTTTTTTTTGTTTTTTTTTCACGAGACCAAATTGATTTGGAGCATGTGCTGTTGAACTACAGTAGCAGCACTATAATTTATACCTATAGGCTACGACAGTGGTCAGGCAAGAGCACATGCTGTCTTTCATTATACAGGCCTGTGTTGTTCCCGTCAGAAACGAGTGTCCCCTGGGGGCCGTGTACACAAGCCCTGCTAGATAATCTACTGTCATGGATGTCATGTGTGTGACCCACAGCATCCAGGCAAAAGCACGAAAATGTCAGCTCCCTGTTCATCCGCCTTGGAAAAATGTAACAACTGATCACTAACGAAAATATACGAGGAAGAATTGCTTCATGGCGTCACCAGGCTGGAATTTGAACGGGCCGTGAAATCAAGTCATAAACATCTGTTTGCCTACAGATTCACTCACTCACACTCACACACACACACACACACACACACACACACACACACACACACACACACACCGACACAGCATGTGCACACACACACACACACGCATACACACTGCTCCCTCAGCTGAGGTCACAGCTGTCAGACAGCGGCCAAACCCCACTGGTGTGCGCACAGAAACAGAAACTGTAATCCCCTTTTTACCCCGAGCCAGCTTGTACCAATCTCCCGAGGTTGGCCAATGGGGCATGATAAATATGGTTAACCTATAAATGCAACAGACTAGGACTAGAGATACAGTTTAGACAGAAAAACACTGCCCAAGTCGGGGGACATAAATCTGAAGGATTCTTTTTTTTTACTTCACTTAGCACCTGGATGTTACACTCCACCAGTGCTTTAGTATCTACGCTAGCAGGAGAGAAACCATGCGAGCCATAATCATACTTTGGAAGCATTTAGATTTCCACACACATAAGCCTTTAAGGCCAATTCATACTTTCCGCGTCTGCGTGTGCGCTAGGTTCCGCTTTGGTCTACGTGACGCAAATGCCCTCATCCGGCCCTGTCCACATAGAGTCTCTGCACGAACCCTATGTGGATGTCTGGGTGCAGCCGACATTTAGGACCGTGCACCCTGTACGCACAGCGAGCACGGCCAACAGCGAGCTTGCCGGTTCATTCCACAGTCCAGTCCAGGTGGTGGCATATGTACCTCGAGCTGGCTTGCCAAAGAGAAGATGATAACAAAGTGGATGCTTGTTGTGCAAAGATCCACCGTTACCAACATTTATATAATCCGTCTATAAAGGAATACAAAGGCAGACAAATGGCGTTGAACTCCTGGTAAACACTAGTATGGTCTATTACCACTACGAACTGGAATGGAGTGTGGATCGAGAAATACGCATGCGTGGAAGGCCAGACCAACGCTCATCAACCCTCATTTGTAGTATGAACGGAACCGCATGCGCGACCGGTACAAGTCGGCAGCTGTCCGCGGAATGCAGGAAGTATGTCCAATGCTTTGACCGTCATTAGCTACTTGCACATCAGTGAATTGGATTAGATACACCTACGATAGGGTCACAGATCCTCGCAGCTGATCACAACAAAGCATTACAAACGATGAACTCACTGAGAAAACAGAACCTCCATTCACAAGGTAACAGCCCTTGGCTCCACAGCACACGGATGTGATCTAGGCCACGCTGCTCTCAGCAGCACAGAGGAGAGCTGAGCTATGGAGCAGCTTACATCTTCTGCCAGTCTGACTGACACACACACACACACACACACACACACGGGAGTGATGGGAAAGAGACATGGCATCACTTCTGCTGAAGGTAACGCACTGTGTGGGACCTTGATATTTAGAGGTGCAAAGCAAAGGATATACAGTTCATGAACTCTTAAAATTAAAAGGTGTACATTGCTGCTAAGAAAAGACTTTTCTTGGAAAATATGTGTATCTACTTAATTTAATTGAAACTCTACTTTGATTGTGAAGTTGTAGGCTACATGTGGGCCTATTTCAGTTTTATGGCAGTATGTATTTAACGTTCAGAGAATATCCAATCATTTAAATGGTACAAGTATCAACTTATCATATTCAAATTGCAAAGTCGTAAATAAAAGCTGTTGACCAACAGCCATTGTAAAACATCAGGAATTTAATACATTATAACTATAATTATATGTGGGCTGCCTCTTGTTGTATTGCAATGCTTGCTGGAATGCAATATAAGACCTTTTCAATTCAACTTAAGTGAAAAGACAAGTGTGGAAAGCCTTCAGGAAGGTCTGTGTAGTCCAGGCATAATTTGAACTTGAGAATCTGCAATGAAACAGTTTAATTCTTTCACAGTTTCTGCAAGGGAAAGCTATATTTAATACATGAGATATTTTAAGGTGTTGAAGCTTTGTGGTTCAAATAATCAACAGTCAGACATAATGTACTCTTTAGATCCTAACAGCCAGAAAGATGATGAGAGTGGAGGAGACCTAAATTAGATGGGTGGCAGATGAGGGCTCTTGCTCAGTGAGATTTTCTGGGTTCAAGTATAAGTAAGTATGGCCGGCCTCACACACTCAGAAATTAGTCCCTCAGGATTGGATGAGATAGATTCTGACTACATCAGTGACCAGGCCTCAAGCCTCACCTTTACTTTCTCTCTGCTACTCTCCAAGGCAACAAGTGACAATCACGACAACAAAACATCCACTTACGCTCAAAGTCAGAATCATCGTCATCGTCATCTCCGTTGGACTCCGTTTGCATCGGCTCCCCATCAAACACGACTCCTTTCCCCAGCTTGACGCCGGCAATGGCCCCATCCTGGCTTCTGGTGTCCCGCAAACGGGTGAAGTACTGTACTGCAAAATCCACCAGGTCTGACGGCCTTTGTCGCAGCACCTCCACGGTGTAGCCCTGCAGCAGTTCTGTCAACCCCACCGGTATCTCAATACTCATGGCTGTGTGTGGCGCGGTGGCGGCGTTTGCTATCTATCTACAGAAGGAGGGAAAACATGTAAGAATTTGTTTTGGTTAAGAGTCATACCTGTGTTTCAGTACTGGGCTGTGATGTCATTAAGGATTGCTTCATGAATGAACAGCAGACTGACTTTTATGCCAGAGCCCTGTGAATGTAAAGTGGATAATGACAGCTCTGCATGGCAACTGGAATGCACTGGCACAGCCTGAGTAACTGAAGAAAAAAAAACATCAAGTTTGACAACTTAACAGATACTACACCACCACTACAGGTAGTGTAATGACGTGCATGAAGGGTGGCTGTGACATTGTCACTGAGCGGCCACTTTATCTAGGGTTGAACACACGGTTCACACAGCTGCACCAAACAGATATGAGCTTAGCATTTGCGACAGATAACCACAGACATTCGCTGGGTTTCGGCAACATTAACTTAACATAACTGAAGCGTAAACGTGGGGTTGGTGGCCAGCTGGAACCGGCTAGCAAAGCAGCTAATTAGCTAATATTCATGACAACTGGTTTCCTGCGCTGTTCCATCCACAGATATACTTAACTAGACTTACCTATCCAACTTGGCTAACAAGTAATGACCGCAGCCAACGTGGAGTAGCTGCTGTTCAAGCGCAGTCTCACTTTAAACCCATCGAGTGTTAGCTGTCTTGCTAGCTAGTGTGCCACCTTCAAGGGAGCCTTAACCGTTAGCTGACGCTGTATCATGGCGCATTGACTGAAGGAGCTAAGCCACAGATAAGAGGCTGGCTGGATAACCGGGGCCATGCAAGCTCAGCAAGTTGTACGGAACCGGTAATCCGTTTAGTAAGCCAACGTAACGTTACCGTGTCACTTACGTGAGATTCTGTCTCCCCGGCTAAACAAGCCAGTCCCCTCCTTCTTGATGTCTTCCTTGTTTTCTCTTATTTCGTCTCTTCTTTTTAGCCAGTCTCTTTGCCAGCGTAGCGACCGGATCCCTCCACAGAAGACACTTGTCCAACGGTAAAGCCAGCAATGTTACGTTGGCGTCGCCTAGCTTAACGTTTAGATGTTTTAGCTTTGCCAGCTAGCTGCAAAGCGATGCTGGCTAAGTTGAGAGGAGAAAGCACTCGACTTCCCCGCTGCAGCCTCTTCTTACGACGTCCACGCACTCGGTGAGGGTGGGACTTGATGTGGCGGTACGGAGAGCAGCCTAGCTGACAGGCTAACCGGCTGAGTTGCTAACTACTTGTTAGCAACTGCCTGTTTTCCTTCGGCAACTGCCGTAATGACACCACTCACTTGGAGTAACAAGTCAGCTGCTGCAGACAGGTGACCAATCCTAAACTCAGCGTTTGCTGCGTAGCGCAACACCGCCGTTAAGTACAACCCGAAGTGCCGACGAAAACAATTTTCTAACGATATTCCAGCAGTGTGGCGGCTTATCGCAACAGGAGAAGCCTGCAAAAAATGAACAAAACACACGTTTCCTCCCTCCCGGTGAGGCACTCCACAAATCTTCACGCACGAATGAACCTCTGCCTCCAGCAAGCGTGAGGAGGCGTGGTTACTGAGTGAGCCGAAAGCGTTTGACATTGATTGACAGAAAGCCCGGCCAATGATAATACAAGTTTAGAATACCCCAGCCAATTGGATATAATCATCTAACTATAGGCGGGATTCAAGGCAGAATCATATTTATACGCTCAGCATTGGACCACACCCACAAACATGGCTTGACAATTTGGTAGAGACTTCTATTAATATTAGATCATAAAAAATATAACAAATTCCAGCCAACGTGTCTGGATCTGTAAAGGCTGTGAGAAGATGTTTTCATTTTAATTTATTTTCCAAGAAAACAGTCCTGTATAGAGAAAATGCTCAACTTTGTTGCACTTTAATCTGAGGAACCCATCAATCCAACACAAATGTTGCTTCTTAAGTGTGTTTCAAAACATATAGATCAGACAGCTTCATACAGTTGCAAGTCTGCAACAGAATGCCTCTCTTGAAAGGTCTAAATCCTCTCTTGTATTAGGTGTAAAACAAGTCCTCACGGATTCTCTTCTGTCCCAGTTCCCTTTCTTGCCCTCATCCCTCACTAATTCCCTTGTCTAACTGCCATTCATCTCTCATCCTTTTCCTCCTTACAGACTTCCAAGGCTCTTCGTAGGTCTGTTCGGATAAGACAGCACTCTTTGCTCTTATCCTCTGAATGCATATACTGTATCAAATCTTCATGTAACCCTCTAAATTGCATTTAATCTGAGTAAATCAATCAATCCCGTTTTTTTTTTTTGTCTATTTTTGTACACACTGCTTCAGTGCATTACTAATGAGTATTCTTGTTTCCCCTTCCATCTGCTGCCCTTACTTATTTGTTTGGTCTACAGTCAGTTTTCCCCTGCAGAACTGAGACAGGCGAAGTGGAGCAGGGGATGCTGATGGTGGATCTACAGGTACCTATTCTCAGAGGCTTCCTAAGCACCACCACAACCATGTAGCATCTCCTCTCTTCCATTCCTTAGCTGTCACAGAGGTAAAGCCGTTGCCATGGCCACAGCAAGCCCGGATTTAATTCCTCGAGCCAGTTTCTGATTGGCTTAGGTATCTGTTTCCAGATCTCCAGGCTCCCTCTGCTGGGAGAATAAACTTAGGAAATAACACATTCTTAAAAGACTTATTGTTTATGTTTTCATAGTTTGCAACCAATTCCAAACTTTTTTTGCAAAAACAGATCAAACTCCTCAAAACATATCACATCATCAATATGATATTTCTCAGTCCCACAGGGAGATGATGGAGGTTGTATTACACTTCTGAAATCAATTAGCTTGTGAACCTTACTGTTTTCCCCCAATCACTGCTGTATGTGAATAAGACTCATGTATTTGGGGCATTTTTCAGTTGAAGAATGTCCCACTATACCCACAGGAACATGAACAAGTGGCAGTACAACCTATATTGAAAGTGACAGATGAATATTCACACGTTCAGTCGGGACTCTGGACCTTCCTAGAAGTGCCATCCTATGGGAGTCGCTGCTAATGCGGTTCCAGCAAAGGTAGGACAGAGAGATAAAATGGGGCAGAGAAAAAGAAAGCAAAGGAGACTGAGATAAAGTGAAAAAAGATAGCATGTCTGTATGTGGGTGTTTGTATTTCCTGTGTGTTTTTAGTATGTTTCCTCTCCAAACATCACCACCTTGGACTGCTGACATACAGCCAGTTTTCACATAAGTCGTTATTAAGTGTCATGAGAATGTTCGAGGGGGAGGAGGATGAGAAAAGAGAGATTTCCCAAGAGGGATGATGAGTAGGCGACTGTACCAATTGCTTGCTGTGATGTGGGTTTCCTGGGAACCTATAGGGTTAGGACTACTGTCTAATTACTGGAGACAATAACCGAAGGTTTTGACTGTTTAAACTGAGAATCAGTGATGTAGGAAAACACCACAAAAGATACAGCGGAGCATGTGTTTGATTTAAAGTGTGTTGTCAAAATTAGGGCTAATATAGTACGATTTTATTACATTAGGACCTCAGTGTTTGTACAAGAGTAAGGTCAGTGCAAATGCATGCCCTGAGATTAAAAATTCCAAAAACCGAATAAAACATAAAATATAAATCATTGTATTTAAAATCTTCAGCCAAAGCCTTCGCTCATTCATGCCTTGCTTGCTTGTGCACTGATCTGGAGACACAGTTCAAACTCTACATTCATACAACTGAGGCCGTCTTCAGTGAGTTATGTGATGCAATACCGCCACCTAATGGCTGATGTGTGCTTTTAATCTCCGAACAACCAAGTCAACTGCTGGCACGATTTGAACCATATGAGCAGGTTGTCCTGCATCGTTCTTGAGTTTGCACATGAAACACCACATAAACCAGTGTGTCAGGTATACTGACCCGTGTCACATTCAACTTCACTCTGCTGCATGCATTTCATCATGTAAATTAACTTTTCAAACTTCATGTTGCAGCGGGAGGTAAATCCTTCACTAGATGGTCTGCATCCAATGATTGGTCCCAAAAAGTATGCCAGGAATAAGAGTTTCCTCTATGAATACTTGAGATATTTTCTCGGAATTAGGGTGAAAACACAACAAAATGACAAAAAAAGTTTCTCCCACCTGATGCTCTTTCCTTCTTATAAAGTGATTATGAATATATTGTCCAAATATGATTTATTAATAAACTATCAAACTAAATAAAAACATTTGCCTTCTCACTGAACCCATTATGAAGAGAAGCTGTAAAAATATTCCAGTCAGACTGCACAGTTAACTCAAAAAGGTCACGGGACTTATTACCATTGTTGTCCTCGTAGTTAGATGTTGTAGAGTGTGTGTGTGTGTGCGTGCACGCCTACCTGCCCGTGCAGATAGTGGAGTACGCCATTAGCGGCATTAAAAACCTTGATATACAAAAATATACAGTTGATACTTGAGTATTAGCTCAGCTTTTCAAATAGTGTCATCCAATATTTAGTACACTGTTAAAACAAGCAATGCATTAATGTACATGAAAGACTCGAGGCTGTGATGCTTCAACGTGACGTTATGTGGTCAACGATGTCCAGTTGACTTCATACTTTATGTCAATGCATGATCATATTCAGGTTTGATTAACATCGTTTCCCATAACATAATGAAAGAAATGTAGAAATATTTTCTCGCATCATATTTATTCTGTATGTTTTGATGGCATGATGAACATTGCTTATCCTGACAACAATTTACACTTCATTGTCCTCCATTGACAATTAAAATATAGATCTTTACGAGTATACCAGTAACTGAGGCCAGAATTTTTGGTTCACGAATATTACGACACCCGACAAAAGTGCAGAATAACTGCAGAGTACAAGTAATAACAAACCGTGTTGAAGTTTGTCTCCAGTTCTGCCACATATACAGGAGCCAACTGTGACTATTGTAGTGCTTTGAGTACAGCACATTTGCGTTATTTTACAAATCCTTGTGTCATTGTCATGTAATGGACAGAACTTCCTGTTTTCAATTGGTAACCAATTAGGAGGTGTTCATGAGCTGCATCTCGGCCTGTGCTGAAAGATTCAGAAACGGATTGGACATAGATTCAGACAGACACACCGGTAAATAGAAAGAGAGAGACAGGAAGACTATAAGCAGACAGACACAATTACCGAAACACAAACAGATGTGACAACCAGAAAAGCAGAGTAACAGAGACGCTCATCTGCTTAACGCAGCCCTGTGCAGTTTATCCATATCAAAACACACAATCGTCACAGTAATGAGGCACAAACAACACTAGACCACAATCCAAAAATAGCCGTACAATACATATTCCCATAAAAATCTTTTAATTGTGTGGAACGCTGAAACATGCTGCTGTTGGAAGAAAACCCGATACCTGCAATTTAGTCCTCAAACGTATTTTGACCAAATTGTCTTTAATCTAAGATGTAACACAAGATGTTATGAATGCAGAGAGCTACATTAAGTTTCTCACTCATGAACATATCATTTAAAGTTTGTTTTAAGAGGAGATACCTTAAGATTAAAGAGAAAGTTAAGTTCCTGAAAAAAGCAAATTTGGGAAAAAAAGTACATTTTCCCAAACCTGTAGCAATTACACCCTGTTGTTAAGATCTTGTTACGAAACATTTTGAAATCAGATGGTTTAAACATTTATAGTTGTGTGACACACAGCACAAAGACACGTCAACACACAGTAGTAAAATACTCTATGCAAAATCATATCAGACACATCGTCATACATTTTTGGGACTGCTGTACATATATACATACAACCTTGAACCAGTTTCCATCTCAAAAAGTATTATGGAGCTTCATGTAACTGAGCATCAACAGTAAAGATTACAGGATATGACTGGTTTATGGTATAAAAGTGCCTTGTCATGATGCGTAATCAATATATAGTAGCCTATACATAAAATTAAATCCTATAAATACTCTAGATAAAGATAAATAAAGAATTTGAAAAATACATCAGGGGCTTGTTTTTTGTACTTCCATCTAGGTATTGTTAGAGATACTATTCTACAGTGTATTACAGTTACGTTCAGTAATCAAGCAGTCTGACCTCTAGAAGTAAATCAAATCAATCAGCAAGATTTGAATGAGGTTTTTGCTCCAAAATGCAATATCAACCATTTTAAAATGGCATCTGCATTTTCAATGAAATATTTGTAATGACTAGTGTGTAATTTAAGTTCCCAGGGGAGGAAATGATGACAACAACTTGGATCATCTGTATAATGTTCATGCATTTACAGCATTTTGGAGAAGACCTCTTCAAGTCTTGCTGTCCACTCGAGCACTGACGCTAGATTTCATTCGTGCAAACTCTGCACTGAATATTTCCAGTGCACTTTAATCTCATCATACAATTAGAGAAAGACTGGCGTGTGCCCCTCAGTCCTCCATCATATATAACAGCTCTTTTCTTAGAAACAGTCATAAAGTCGAGATCAAAATAAAAAAACACAGACCCCATTCACAAACCTGCAGGCCCGGTGAATTTCGTTTTGTCAGAAAAGCTGCAGCCAAATTAGTTCCCCCCCTTAACATTAACTTCTGTCCTAAATAAAAACGATATTAACAGTCGATTGGATTATTACATATTAACAGAGCAATGCTTCTGTACATGGCTATCTCTCAGTATGGCAAACCTGCATACACCTCATGCTTGTACAAGTCCACACACCAGTAGAAAAGGACATTGGCATGACCAGTGGAGGCTTACAGTAAATGCCTTTGCACAATGTGAGGGTTGTGTCAGGGATCACACACCTTTAAGGAATGAATAGGAGTGAACTGAAAAGTAAAAAAAAAAGTGGTGGATTCCTCTTTAATTTCACTTATAGTGCTTTGTACACCACTTTTGAATCAAGGCGGGGCATAGATGGAGGCAAAAATACACAAAGAAGAAACATTTTGGCCTTAATATTGCAAAGAAATCATTCTTTGCAAAAATGCAAATAGTGTATTTTCAGTACAAACAGTAGACCAGCCTGATTTGAATTCAGTGTGTGTAGCAGCTCTTGTTATTCACTGCAAGCTGATGATGGTAATTGTTTGCTCTCTTATCGCCACGCTCACACAAAAGGGAATCCTCGGAGCAGCAAAATGGACAACCAGCCCTGAAAGCCCAGCAACGTCTGCTTCACATCCTGCACCATTAACGAATATACATTTTGCACTGGATGATTTTACTGGGGGGGGGGTGCCATGGTTACTGACAGCTTCTCTCTCTTCTCCTCTCACTCCATCTCCGTCTCTGTCCACCCCCATAGCTAACGATAGCAGTAATATGCACTCGTGTAGTCTGACAGGTCGAGCTTTTTAAATTTACTGAGTCCATTGTGCAGCCTGAATACCACTGGGACTGTGCAGCCTTTGTGTGTGCCGTGCCTGCTGCAGCTCAATCAGGAGTAGATTGTGTTTGAAGTGATGTGAGGTTAACGGTCGGACTCCCACTGGGACCGACGAACACATTACATCTCAATCTATGTCTGCACCCAAGGTAATGTAACCTGATATTTGGTCTGATGCACTTAAATCCTCAACCCCCCTCTATTATCTGATGCATTTTACCCAATCTGTCAAACACTTTGCTTTGCGTAGAAAACGTACACTACAAATCTGCCAGGTGTTCATTTTTCATGCAGATCTCAATTGATCTCTCGTTTTCCAACGCAACTCCGTGGTTTCAATACCAACAACAGAAAACGGTTTGCAAATATCAGAGACATCCATCCGAACCGTTTTTCTTATTCAGCGGACATTGGGTGAAGGCAGGGTGCACCCTGGACAGGTCACCAAACTATTGCAGAACTGGCATAGAGACCCTCCCTACACTCTCTGCACGAGTCCCTTTGAACTCTGTCTTTGGACTGAGGGAGGAAACCGGAGAACCCGGAAAAAAACCCACGCTGACAACATGCAAACTTCACACTGAAGGGCCGTCCAGCCTGGGATCAAACCCAGGCCCCTCTTGCCCCCGACTCAGAAACGTCAAGTTTTTGCGTCCCTGAAGGAATTTAGCGAGTTTGTTGCAGCATTAAGCCGAGCAGAGTCAGTGGCAGGTTAAGCAATGTGTTCCCTGTTCAACGAGTGGCAGTTCTCCGGCCAAAAGATTGACCACTAGGGACAGTGTGGGTGGCTGACAGAACAAGATTTTCAAATAAGCAGTAGAACAAGAGGCTCTGTGATGGACGGAACAAAGAGCGCTGCTCACCACAGCGACTTAAAAAAAAAACTGGGTGACACAGGGTGAGATAGGGAGAGACAGAGGGAGTTAATAGAAAATTAAAAAAGGAAAAGAGACAGAGCAGGCATGAAGCCAATAATTCTTGTAGTGATCACCGTGGTTACACCATGTTCCCCTACACTCTCTCCATGAGGCCCTTTGAACTCTGTGTGATGAAGACCAAAAAAAAAAAACTCCTAAAAAAGCCAGTGTGGAACAGTCGAGTCTCTTTCCAAGAACTGCACACTTAATGTTTTATAGGACATGATGTCTGAAGTCAACAGACACTTATCTGTTGTTTGAACGGCCACAGAATGTTTGATCCCTCTCCATGTTCGATGTCGGGGGTGGACGAACTTTTAAAACTCTTTGACTCGTGCGGCTGAAACTTTCTTATGCTTGATGCAATGCCTGCTAATTACCGTCTACCTGACAATAGAAAATGGTGAGCTCAGTGTGTGTCTGTCTATCGTATAATTAACGGCTACCAAAAATATAGGCTACTGCGACATTATTGCTATGGTTTCGTTGAAAATCTATTTGAAGCCAGGGCTGACTTTAAGTACTGAAGTGACAGGTTTATACTTTGGGAACATAGAAAATAGATGGAGAAACATTAGCTTGACCACTGCTTTAGCCACTCGCACTGTAGATGAGATTTAGAGGAAACCTACAGCACACTATTCCTGTTACTACCTAGAAGGCATAAAGTCTATCTTTTTAATTATTTGGATTTTTTAAGTTTTCAAATCAAATCAATCATATCCATCCATCTATACATTGAATGTCTTTAAAAAAAAAAAATCACATTTGTTTTGGTTTGGCTGAGCACAGAATGCAGCGAGGAGGATGCAGCGTGACATACGCAGCCAACAGCAGGCGTATACCTACAGTCTACATCCGGTGAGTCGGACTGAATTCTCAGTCAAATCACTTTCTGTCCCTCCTCGTCTGGAATCTATTGTAGAGAACATCCTGTCCTCCCAAAAAAATGTGATGACTACGGCATTGTTCTGAGTTGGATTCCCACTATCCACCCATGCAAAAAAAAAAACCCCCGCATACATCCATGTTACTTAAGGTGATTTGGATGAAAGTGTCTACCAAATGACAGATGCTGTTGAACAGAGGAGATCCACTCTTTTGTCCACAGTAACAGAGCAATGGGTCCCCTCCGTTTTCCAGCTGGGCCCTAGTCTGCAGTCTGAGCTTAATGAAGTTATAGCCGCAGAGAATGACCCTAACAGTGAAATCAACTGTGACCTTAAAGGTCAAAGGTCAGAGGGGGGGGGGGGGGGGGGGGGGGGGGGGGGGGGCTTTTGAACTTTGCACCCTTTGAGAGTCGTCGTGTCCATTGGTAACTCAGTCAATAAATGGAGGTGGTGGGGAAGTAATGTAATACCGTGCCAAAGAATCGGGAGATGCGGAAGTCAGGAGAAGAGAGGATTTGTTATATATACAGTCACGTGCTTACAGAATAAGTTTATAAGTTACTATATAAGTGTCAAAAGACTATCAAAACTGTCTCCGTCAAATCTGTTTTGTATCCACTGATGTGTGTTACTCATACGCTGCTGACAGTAGAGCTACGTGAGGACCGAGATGTTGATCGCTCACCCTGCACTGGACCGACAGCGGCTCCAGAGGGGCTGTCCCCCTGCTGATCCTGACCTCTGACCTGTCTCCTCAGGGTGGATGAGCAAAGAGGAAATGTGCCTGTGCAGATTAATAATGTAATTCTTAAACTTGTGTGTATAAATGTGGAGGAAACTTTATTATTGCACTTTGAACCCCAGCACATTGTAGCTTACATTTTAATTAACTTGAGCTGCACCCCAGTGAGGTCCACTGGAGATGATCACATGGTTGCCAAATAAGCCCGCTGACTGTAATACATGAGACACATCCCTGATCAAATGCTTTGCAGGGAAACTGAAGTACAATAAGACGTGGTTTCTGACCCCATCATCCAATTTAAATCAGAGTAACTTAGTTTGAGGTTGACATATTTAGTTTTGTACAGTTTGTGCCCAGAGGATGAAGTCATTACGCTTTTTATACAGAGAAAATAAAGTCTACATGCCCGAATGTATTACCCAGGCCAGAGAGTGTAGTAGTAGTGTTGTTTTGCCTGACTGGAAAGTGAGCAGGCCTCTTGGAATGAGGTTGGCAGTTCCCTTGGAGCGCTGACCGGTTTGTCAAAGTCCCGATTCTAGGAGCCTTGCGGTTGCTGCGAAGTCATAAGAGGGAGGTGCTCTGTGATCCAGCTGGTCACCTCCTTCAGCACGGACTCGACCACCTCTGGGAGGTCGTGGTGAAGGCTGTGGTAGCCTCCCTCGAAAACCTGAACAGGAGCGAGAGAGCCAAGAGAGATGACTTGTTTGAAATCTAAGTCATTTGGAGAACACCAAAAAAAAATGCGAGTCTCCGGCCTATTTTAAATTAACTGCAGCGCAATGTCAGTCAGAGACAAATTTATCACGCTTAGCTAAACATTCAAAAGAAATACTATGGAAGTAAATAAACAGATTATTTTCTGTGATAAACCAATTTCCTGATACTAATTGTTCAGGCATTTAATACGTCAATTATTTCTTTGATGAGAAACGTGATAAAGCGGTCCCTGCACCTCATGAACACCACCTGATTCAATAGAAAAGAAGAAGATCCACAAAGATAAGAAGTGAGCAGGACCTCTCTCTTCACTTTTCTCACCTCTCAGTTCTATTTTTTTGTCCATGAAATGAATAACTATGCAAGAAAAAAATGTGTGAATGAGATTCTTCCTCATTCTGCAAATGAGGAAGAATCTAAATAGAGTTCAAAAAGCCTCTAGTGTGTGTCAGTGAACGCACCCTGATGGAGACAGCCAGGTGTGCGAGTAAACGTTTTTGCTGAAAGGTTCCATTGAATAATGCACTTTTTTTTTTGTTTTTATTAAACTTACATATACAAACATATTTAACTGCCAGCACAGCTTAGTTTAGGCATCGACCTTTATCCCAAACGCTGAATTTACTGAACTGGGCTTTCATGTATCAAAGGCAGCAGTTAATATTTCTACACAACTTGAAGTTGTACTTTCTGTATCAGTCATAAAAGCATGAACTTTTTGTTAACTGTGGCAACCTCCCATACAGCCAATACAAGTGTCATTTTTAAAATGTCAAAAGGCAATTGGGTGATACATGAAATGAAGCTACTGGATACAAGTTTGTGCAATGTGATTATTTCATTTTCTTTGACAGTATTTTAACAGGCAGTCTCACTGAAAAAAATTATTTGAAATAAAAAAAACTATTTTTCTAAATCATTTACATACCATTTTCTGTAAGCAACCCATCCTCACCTTGATTTTCTTGTCTGAGGCCGGAGCGTTCTCGTACATCATCTTGGAGCCTCTGATGTCGCAGAGCTTGTCGTCATCGCCGTGCAGGAGCAGGAAGGGCCAGCTGATGGACGGGATCTCCCTCTCGATGCGCGCCGTCGCCCCCATCAGCTGCATGGCGAACGACACCCGCATGCCACCGTGGAAGTTCAGCTCATCAGCGGCATATGTCTCCACCTGGCAGGAGAGAGAGAGAGACAACAAAGGGTCATGGAGCAAAGTGGACAACACTCGAGTTTATTACTCTTAAGCATCTACATCGAACAAGCACTATAAACTTTGTGGTTTAATCCAAATATGGAAGAAAGTGCCTCCATGGGAGAAAACAGGGCCATGAAAATAAGAAGGCTTCTGGGAAAAACCATGAATGTTGGCAAATTGGAGTAAGGGTTATAAATAAATGGATGGGGGGCTTTTATGGAAATAAAAATAAGACTCACAGAAAGTAAATGTGACACGCTACATTAGTTTAAATCACAGTTGAGGAGCAGACGGCACACCCTGTTTTTCTTACATCAAACTATGAATACTTCCATATGGTCCATACATGCTCTCACACACACACACACACACACACACACACATTTCTATTCATCTCATATGCAAACACAGCTGATGGCCCTGTAGCTCTGTTTTGACTGCTCTAACTAATAGTTGCAGACGTCTTTTTGACGGAATTGTTGTGCATGACGCTGCTCATGCAAGCTTCCCATTGGATGTTGGCCCAGCAAAGAGTTTGAACAGTTGTCAGCCGACACTATGGCGGTTGCTGTTTTGGATAAGATAGTTAGAAAAAGGGCCATAAAATAGAAAGAGCTGATCGTCAAGGAATGTGTGACGAACAAGAGTATCGTTCACCAGAGAGTTCTATTATAAGATTTATGGCATATTTATTGTCTCCAGGCACACTGGAGGACCTACAACAAACGATTGCAGTGCCATAGTACGACTGAATAGCAAGCTACTCCTGCCTCCCACTTGCTGCTGATCCCGACATAACTACAGATATCTGCAACATCATTTTGGCTGGTTCTTTATTTCAAGATATCTGTAATTACATTTTGACTCTGCAGAATAAAATACAATTGTCTACAAATAAATGATGACTATACCTAATTCAAGTTTGAGATATTTACAACATCATTTTGACTCGCTAAAATTCTAAATGCTATCTAAAAAAGGACAACGTAGATATCTTGAATGGAGGGGATTTAAAGATGTCTGAAACTGGAATTAAAACTCGTCAATATTTAGTTGCAGATATCCGCAACTGAACTGTAGGCATCGGTAATAAGCAACCCCGTACACATTAATGGCAAAAGTAGTTTGAATCTTACTTGTCAAAATGTACTTAGAGATATCAAAGATCAGAGTTTTGACTAGGCAAAATTACTTTCGAAATATCAGTGATAAGTACAGCTTGCCATAGCTGCCGGCAGGTGTGTTTTTGTCTCCTCTGTGGTTTCATTCGAAATACACACGCAACTAAATACAGTGCACACAAGCATTGTCTCATTGTCCTGTAGGTGACACAGTACATGCACCTCTTTTTATAATTACAAATAAGTATTACACCCACACACACCCACACACACACACACACACACACACACACACACACACACACACACACGGCTAGATAAGACCGACTTGTGATTTGGAAAGAATTCACATTATGTATTGTAGGTTGGTCTTTCCTCCTGAGACTGTCAAATGGAGTTGGTGCATGACATCACACACACGTATATATATATATATATATATATATAAAACACACACGTAAATTTCCCCCTTGAGACCTGGTTAATATATTTTCTGCGAGGCCCTTCCCTGATATTTCAATGACAGATGACAACACCGCCCTCCCGCCCAGACGCACACCAACAGGTGTCTCTCACCTGCTTCTTGTCCCGTGAGATCCATTTGGAATCGATGGAGCCAAGAGTGAGGCTCGGCAGCATGTGGTTTAGGACCTTCGCCATAAAAACCTGCAAACAGCGAAAAACAAAACACACGGAGCGTTCCAGTTTATTCTCACACATCAACACCGCCCTGGTGGATGTTTCTATCCCTCTCTATTATTATTTCTCTCGCCATCTGACTCGTGTTACAAAGACATACAGTGATGAACATTTTGAGTATGCACTGTATAATCCACCCGTTTGCATGGAAAATAAAAGCTCCCTTCTCCTTCCATGCAGATCGTCTTTAACCTTGACACTTGGACACACTTGTATCTGTGAGATTCAGAAAGAGATTCAACTACTGCTGCTCAAGTGGCACTTACACATTCTCACCTTTGAAAACACACAAAAATAATAAAATGAAGTATTATAGTAATCCCCCACAGAGTGCTGAGTGGAGCAAGACGGAAGACTCCTGGGTAAACTGAGTACTTGACTGAATAAAGTGACTCAATTATGAAGGAAAGAGCAGAGGAAACGAGAGAGCAAAGGTGAAGAGGATAGAAGAGTGGATGAGCGACTGTGTGGTACCTTGAACGGCGTGGCCGAGTCTGGATTCATCTGGACCATCGGAGCTATCAGAACCACTCCGGCAAAGTCAGCGGGCCTCTCACAGGCCGTCAGGATGGAGATCGCACCACCCTGAGTAGGAAAAAGCACAGAATGTACATCTTGTAAATTGAATTGATGAGATATCTTTGAATGGGAGAAACGTATAAAAGTTTTCAGTTGTTTGAAACTTGTTTTTCCGTCAATTTGAATGCTTTATTTTTAAAGGTGTGACGATCTTCAAAGCAGGAGGCATGAGTCAGAGGTGAGGTGCAGACGAACTTGGTGTTTTTCCACCAACAGTGAACACATACATCGACAACAAGGCTGAGCTCTCTAAGAGGAAGCTCTACAAAACACACCACGTCATCAATACACACACACACACACACAACACAGAAAATCACTCATTTCTTGTCGCAGTTAATTTATACAAATCAATACAAACACCTGTGTGCTTCAAGTAATCAATGCAATCTATGCTAGGTGTTATCAACAAAGTAGTATTTAAAGTTTAAAGCCAAAGAACACACAGTGTGTGAAGAACCTTATGCTGATAACTTGGTTGGTTTTAATAAACAGAAGTCATCCACACATCTAGAAAGTGCTCCATCATGGAGATTTCATTTCAGTGGCCCCATGTCACAAGCTGTTTGACGTCCGTTGGTGTTTGTGCCGTCAGGTGATCATGGTAACATGTCATGTGACCTGATCTCAGCACTTTGATTGGTTATTATGTAAAAACAGTGTTGCAGGCAGCATGTTCATTTAAATAGTTCAATACCAAATCAAAGTTGATATTGATATTGACAATGGTATTTGATATATCTTATGTATATTTATACACATTTTATGTATTTGATGATATTTAAAAACTGCCACTGAAGAAGAATAAAGCATTCCAGTCAGACAAACTGATGACGAAGAATTACCTTGAAACAAAATCATAAAAAAAGAACCACGGGCAAGAGGTGCAGTTTTTCAAGATAAAAGCAAATAAAAGCAACTTGAGGAGTTATAAATAGAAGAAAGAGCGTGTCTCAACGAGGGGAAGATGATATGCGCTCCGTCTTCGGCCTGTAACATAAGACAGGGAGTGTCTGAGCAAAGTAGGCGTGAGGTTCTGACGCAGGGAGCAGTGGGAAAACTCCTCAGAGGTCAAGACGAACATAAAACAATCCGTCTTTTGTTCAGACGGGCGTGAATTTCGACCCTGCTCTTTTGTTGCCGTTGCTCTACACAGACTGGGAGAGAAGCGCACATGTTAACCCACGGCTCTCGGGGCACAGCGAGCACTGCTGAGCTGCAGCGAACAGCAGCTCGAGGCCACACCTTGGCACCCATGCTGACAATTGAGATTGTGATTTAAATCATGTGATGTAGGGCCGTGATAATTAACGGCTCCGTGGCGGCCGAGGTTCAAATCAATTCGTCGTGGTTCACTTAGTCGGGGTTTCCCTTCTCGAACGCAACAAGTGCAAGTGTCTGTGAGGGTGCACACAGACAGACACACACATGGGCACAGGGATTCTGAATGGGTGAATCTGTCTCTCTCTCACTCTCTAGAGACTAATTGGCTTCAACTTTGTTTATGCAAGCATTCTTTGTCACTTGTATGAATATTCATCAGGCTGGGGCCAATGTCAGGCTCACTTCACGAAAGAGGCACCGAAAGACAAAACATTTCCCACCAGAAAATCTCACTTTCTAAAGCACACACTCACTCACTGCATATACCCACACAAACAACACACATGTCAAAAGAAGAGGCTGGCTAGCTCCATACATTTTTTTTTTTCTAGTTTCCCCACACACACACACACACACACACACACACACACACACACACACACAC